ACGAGCATATAAAATTTTGCAAAAATCTATCAAAATTATCTATTTTTTTGTTTACAACGTAAAAATATATGAATATCCTAATAATTATACATCTGGAATTTCATATCGGCACATCGGACAAGAATTATGTGATTTCAACCATGGCACAATGCAACCATGATGAAAAACATGAGAACAGGGCATGGAAGTAACCTCTGTTTGCTCCCCAAACTCCTCCAAACAAACAGCACAAGTCCTGAACTTTTCATCATCTACTCCACCATTGAACACCACCACTTTCTTCAGCCCATCAATAGTGGCTTTCGAAGCTCCCCTCCTCCTCTGTACAGACCCACCACCATCCTCCATAATCACCACCTCCTCTGCCAACGTAGAGACCATCTGATCGTAAGTCGTTGTGGTGGTGAGTTTGAACCGAGCAGTGACTTGAATCCCACTATGGTTCCCAAATCGCAACCTATCAAGATCGAATATGGAATCGATGATATGCTGCTTCAGGAGATCGCATAAACTACGATCGAATCCCATGTCGTAGAGTCGGTGGAAAATATAGAATTCGGAAGAAGCGATGGAGGAGAGAGAGTGATAAGGAATGGTGAAGGAATCTTGAAAATCTGGAGCAGTGAATGTGGGATAATTGGTATTGATATTGCCTTGAGGAGTTCGGACCTGTAGTTTGAGAACATGGGTCATGTGAATTTTGACAAGAACTGGAGTTTCAGGAAGTGAGTCGATCCATGGTAATGGATACATCTGAATGTTGTAGTCTGTTGATATAGTTGCCATTGACAAAAGCTAGAAAGAGAGAGTTAGAATGAGATTGTTGGAATGGAGATGATGAAGATCAAGATTACTTGATTTTATAGCCGTTTTGAGTTTCCATATTTTGAAAACCCATTTTAGTTTCCTAATTTTGGTTGAGTTCCTATATTTGGAATCCCAAGTCATATTGGAAAGTTAGATTTGTGGTTTCCTAATGTGCTAAGGTGTGACTATCTGGGAAAAGTTGGATTGTTTTAAATCCCAAATCCAATAGAACTAAGGTTTCTACATATGAGAACTCTATCAAAAATTAATACTCTTTGACTACTACTATAAAATAAGGTCACTCACCCCATACCTTCATAGTCAACATTCCAACTCTCTCTCTATAGCTTCATCATGGTAACTGTATCAAGCAACTATGACATTCAGACATATGCAACACCACAGATCAACCCATTACCTCTAGTTCTAGCTCCAACTCCAACGCTCATCGAAATACATGTCAACAATCTAGTTAAACTACAGTTGCGAACTCATGAAGGCAATGTCGAATCTAATTATCCTACCTTTGCTTTTCCTGATATTCAATATGACTTCACCATTCCTCTTCAATATCTCCCCTTCTTTGCTTCGTGGGATCCCTATGTTTTCAACAAACTTTCGTCCATGGGATTCAATCTCGAACTCTGCAATTCCATGAAGGAACGCATCATTAGTTCTCTTTCCGGTTTGATTATTGAATATGGGGAGAGTCTTGGGTTTCAAGTCATTGTGGATTTGAAAATCACCACCACGATGGAGTTGATTTCTGCGCAATCGATAGACGATATGATGATGGATATGTTAGCCGCAGATGGGGTGGTTATCGTGGAGGATGGGGGTGGTGTTAATGAAACTGTAGAGGCAATGAGGACGAGGATGCGGACGAGGAGGGGTGTTTCAAAGGCCACCATTGATAGGTTGATGAAAGTGGTGGAGTTCAATAGTGAAGGAGATGATGAGAAGTGCACTACTTGTGCTGTTTGTTTAGAGGAATTTAGGGAGGGAACAGAGCTTACTTCCATGCCATGTTCTCATCTTTTTCATCATCACTGCATTGAGCCATGGTTAGAATCACATAATTCTTGTCCCATGTGCCGATCCGTAGTTCCAGATTGATAATATTTTTATGATGATCGTATATGGTGTAATAACGTGATCATCATAGTATTGTTGACTTCAAATTAGGTAGTTTTGATTGATTATTGAAAACTATTGTATTAGATTCATTGTTAGGGTTTAAGTTTGATTTTTCTTTTAATTGTTAATTATTTTATTGTTTCCAAATTTCCTTTTCGTATTGGTTTTCCAATTACATAAAAGATTTGTGATATTTCCTTATTTTGTTAGTTTAATTATTTTTGTGTAAGAGTGTAATTAACAAGAGAACAAACGAATACGTGGAAATCCAAAATTTAGTCAATAAGATTGTCAAAAACAAATCAATAATTCTATATTTAAAAATAAATAAATAAAAACCACAAGAAACCAATATAGATGAGAAACAGGACACAATGAAATTGACAATAGCAACACAATAAATAAACAAGCTCTGTCATGGATTGAAAATATTAAATATAAAAATCATCAACACAATCGGTCCATGTTGTGTTCAAAATTTTAGCACAGTAGCTTGTTAATAAAGACAAAATATAGGAAAGATTACACCCAAAAAAAAAAAAACCTGAGTTTGACCATTCTAACAAAGAAATTTTGAGTTTTTAATTTTATAAGTTTAAACCCTAATATTTTCAATCTAAATTATAAGCCTATTTTTGTTAAATAAAACCGACCAAAAAATGATATTTTAATCATTAAATTTAATATAGGTATACAAAAAAAATCTAAAACTCTTTTTTGTTGGTAAAATAAACAGAAGGTTTATATCGAAAACATTAAGATTTAAATTGACAAAATTAAAAACTCAAGTTTTATTTTGTACAAGGTTTAAACTTTGGGCCTTTCTTTGTAATTTTTCCTAAAATATATACCATATGAAAAACAAAGTAAAAAAAACAAAGAAAACAGTAGCTGGTAAGCTAAGAGATTAGTGCATATCCGGATTGAAATATTAGAAGGTATGCTGTGAATCTAGTTATAAAAGAATGAGAAAGTTAAGTAATCCAAACAATTATGCAACAGAACAAAAGTTTTCAAACATCATTCTTGCATTTTAGCAGCCACCGAACCTGAATAGTAAAAAAAATTTCACAAGATTTAAGTTCAGAGTGAAAGTCAACAACAGGAATAAAAGATTCAACATCATCCAGTAGCAATTCAAACCATGAAAAATCGCGCCAAAAGAAAATAAGCAAACAGGATTGCAATCTGATTATAGGATCATTATATGATTACTGAATCACAAAGATGATTGAATATATCAAGAGATGATTATAGTAGTCAAACAAATGAATTTTACTATTACAAGCATGAACAAGTCTTGGTAAACAACAAAACGAGGATTTCCTGACGTTATTACAGGAATCCAATACTCAAATTTCTAGAATTTGTAGTGTAAAAAAGGATGGAAGATTCAATTTCTTGAGGCAGTTGAGAAATATAATGGAATGAAATCATATATGACAAATCCAAGAGAAGAGGGAGAGAGACCGAGGCAACAAGAAGTGAAGAATTACAATATCTCTGTATTTTTCAATCACTCCCCTTTGATTTGTACATGCAAATACTCCGAGGGGCAGATCAAGGTTGGGTATGGCCTGAGTCGGGTTCGGAGCAGACCCCCATGTCAATCCAAACCCAAACTTGCATTACGCATACTAATACAAGCTATTTATAAAGCTACATATATAATATACACACACATTGAAGTAACTCCATATTCGATGAAAGCATGAATAATCACAAGCAATGAAGCAAGAAAAAAAAAAATCGAGGTTCCAATCAAATAATGAAATAATTATATATGTCATGTATGGAAAAGAGGCCACCAGCATAAGGCTTTCTGCATTCTGACAAAGACATAAAATGGAGGAAAGAGCACAACTACAGTAGAAGAAATCTTGCAAATTTGTTGCATACATATATATATATATATATCTAAAAGGTTCCTACCTGGTAATTATGTTATCAAACTTCTTTCTTCCTCATCTCATAATGTTTTATTTTATTTTTTCTACAATTCAAAAGAAGAAAATGAACTATACATTCATAAATCTCTTCTTTAGTTGCTTCCATCATCTGATTAAATGTGTTGCATCAATTGTAGAAAAAGAGTGATAAAATCACACCAAATCACATTCCAACTTCAAGCTAATTTATAGGGCTTATATCAGATTGACAGTTAGGGCAACTCTACCCAAGAAAAAGAAAAAAGAAATTCTTTAATTAATTCCAAAAATATTTGTGCCATTGACCCCCAAATATTATTTATCATCTATTCATGAACATGAATTGAGTTGCCAAACTCAGATATGAGTCAAGGCACCATTTGAATGCTTGAGAAGTTGAAATAACTCATGCATGTTTGTGGAAGATTAATGTGTCAACAAATTCAGTGCAAGTTATATACTTTAGCCCTTCTTGTACAAAATCACTATTGTTGATAACATGCAGACATTCAGTGATTATCATGGGTTTGCCAAAATTCACCAGTATACATTGTCATTAGGCAAGCAGTGTAGAGAGGCCACTTCATGCGACTCAAACTCGCACCACAGTGCTCAGAGTGGAAAGCACTAGCCATCACTCTAGGTCACGACCTGTATACTTCGCCTTCAGGACCAAATAAATTCTATTCTTACAAATGAAATAGACATGGTCACAAACAAAGAACTAGGAAGTATCACAGCAACCAGAAAACTAGTCTGCATCAATTACACATCCTAACAGTACTTCAATCAAACATCTCATAAGTTTCCCTAATATGTTGTACATGTATACAAAACAAGTGTTGAAATTGTGAATGCAAACCGACCAATCTATCAAAATTGCATCAACCAGAATCTTAACAAATCATCAGGAAAATTATATTATCTACTCTGTTTTAGAAAGCACACACCTTTCTTGGTGTGAACTATCACACCATTTCAGATTTTTCAAATTTTTTTTACATCTAAACTGTTGATTTTCGCAGCACACTCGGTGTGCAAACCATCTACTCACTTCAAATCTTACCCCAAACATAAAATTCAGACCCAGTTGAGCACTCTTTTGCGTTTGTGTGTGTGCAAGTCCAGTTGAACAATTGGAATCAAATCACTATCAATCATCAAGGATAATTGGAATTCAAATCATCCAGGCATTCAACTCTTCAGATCAGATAAATACAAACTTTGATTGGACAAAAAGAAAATAAAAGATCAAGCACTACCCAGAAAATTCACAGGGACAAACCAGAGAGTTGGCTTAATTGACTGTACAAATTCTTCAATCAACCAACATGAAAAGGACCAATATCACCAGTTCTGAAAGAGCCAGCGATCTCATCAGCCACAGTCAAACAAGATGTGACCCAACCACTCAAAGCCAGCCACACCATCCTTGCCATCCAAAGGGTCACACCCCATGGCACTGCCATGGCCAATCTCTTCTTTATCTCTCAAATCTTCAAATTTCTTGTTCAGACTGAGAAAGTAATCAAGACCCAGTACCTCTTTTCTGATTTCAAAGAAAACCCATTTGAGGATCAAAGTTCAATTGTCAAAATTTACCTTGTTTGGTAATATTCAAAGGACGGAATTCAGCATAAAGGATAGATTTGGCTTTGTTGTTGGTTGGTGCTTTTCGAGGGTTCTTGAGCACCGATGTTGGACCGGAAGCATTGATGTGAAATAAGTCTACGGCCGTGGCCCGGCCCGAAATTCACTTGATATAACCCCAACGTCGGTCGTTATCCATTCAATAAAATTACAAATTAGAAAAATTATGCACAAATAAATTAATAATCAATTATCATTGTGAGTATGACTGAGGCTATTTTCAATTCTTCATAAAATGTTTCATTAAATTTAAATTTAATAAAAAATACTTTAAAACTTAACTCTAACACTTTTATCAAATTGATATTAAATGAAGAGAGAACTAAATCTTTCATCAAATTATGAGATTTTTTATCTTTTATCAAATTTTACAAGTAGCCGTTAAGCCGAACGTTTTCTCGCACAACTGAACTTTCTTTATTTGAACATCAATTTTTACTCATAGCTGGACATCAACATAAACAATTGGGCTTGTAACAAGATTTGATAAATTTTTTGAATTTATTATTAGAGTGCATCGTATTAAATCAAACTTTTTATCAAATTTGTATTTAAATTTGATACAGCATTGGAGATGCTCTCACATCTCAATAATTTTAAATGTATAATACATACTTATTTTTAGAATAAGATTTAAAATATATTTTCATGATTCATAATAACATTTTTGCTATCCATTATTAAATGGAAAATTGACCTTATTGTAACAAGACTTATTTTGTTTAAACAAAATATTCTATTTTATTTTTAACTTTTTGTCATTAGTAATTTTTTTTAAAAAAAATTAGGCTTTTCTAAATTAGAAAGATCTAAGAAGTAATATATATATATATATATAGCATGCAAACAACAATGTTTGTTGTGACAGCACAGTGCTGTCACAGCACCTGCCCCGCGTCCTCTTGTCACTGGGATGTTAAGAAACATACGTGACAGCTGCATCATTTAGTCATCTTCATTTTAGGTAGTTTTGTTTTTTACATTTTTGGTAAGTTTTCATTTTTATTTATTTACTTTATTTATTAGGGTAAATTATTGTAAATCCCCTTAAATTATAACCGATTTGCATTTTGTCCATCTGAAATTCAAAATTCAACAATCAACCATATTAAAGTATTATCTTATTACACTTAACCCCTTCCATTAGGATTTTGTTAGAGATTTTAGGTAATGTGTAAAGCACATGACATGTTGATTGAATTTATAAGGCAATAATGCTCTTATCTGGTGATTTCGTTTGAACTTTGCCACTAAGATAAAGAAAACAAAGTAAAATGAGATCACTAGATAAGGGTATTATTGTCCTAAAAAATCAATCACATGTATTATTATCTAAAAAATCAATAAGTTTGTTATACTTCACACACGACTTGATTTTGTTTAAATCTCGAGAAAGAACCCCTACTATAAAAGTGATGTGGCCATAGAAAATTTAAGAATGGAACAAAATAAACATGCCAGAGAAAATTACATATATGACAGAGAAAATTAAACATGGCAAGCCAAAAAAAATATGAATTCCATAATATGAAAATGCCAGAGAAATTTACAGAAAACCAGAGAAAAATATGGAATAACCAGAAACAAATGAGGGAATAAACATGCCAGAGAAAATTCAAAGAAAACACATAGATCAAGCAAATACCAGAGAAATTCAAATGACAGAGAAATTTACAGACAAAATCACACAAACATCTTCAAGAATAAGTTCGAAACTTAGAGAAATAACATTTTTCAAATTCATGTAGGTTTTTATTACGAAATTGAAATCCTAATTAATGGAAGGCTAGTCAACTGTGTTTTGGAGAAAAACTAGTTGGATTGGAGAAAACTTACCAGAGTGATGATGAAAACCCTAATTTCGAACTGAAATGGCTTGAGATGAAGATGCAATGAGATGAAGATGAACTGAGATGACGATGAACAATGAAAATGGGTCAAAGAAATTTGTGAGGAACGAATTGAAAAGAGTTTGGCAGAAGATAATGAAACCGTAATGGCGACAGTGAAGATGATAGTGAAACCCTAATTCTCATGTTCTCTTATTCATGAAAATGGTTGGATGTTTGGAATGAATTGAGTCATCGGAATGCAATCGAGTTGAGCATTCTATGTTGATCTGTGAAGGGTATTTTGATCCAAAAAATAATTAAAAACGCGCCTGTCGTTAGTGAGGGACCTGAGACATCATTCATATTTTTGGTGTCCTTTATGCTGTAAATTACTCTTATTAGGGACCTTAAAAAAAATTCCCCTAAAAAAAAACACACACAAATTTTAAACATTTTTTCACAAACGTCAGCATTAACAAATTAATTTTCAAAAAAATAAATAAAATTACCAAATGAACCCTAAATTTGAAAGAATCAATTAGGAATGATGATTTTTTCCACCCCACCCCGGCCAACACGGATTTCCCCCCTCCTCGATGAGAAAGTGAAGTGAGGATGAGTTTTGATCCCTTTACCTCATTCTACTTCGCCTCATCTCGATTTTATTTATTAAATATATTTATATATAATTAAAAAATTTATTATAATAAGATTAAAATATTAACATTCATTTTTACTTATTTATTTATCATCTTATATCATTTAACTCTAATTAATTATAAATTATTATCCGAAGTATACTATATTATTTGTTAAAAATTTGTTTGACAATAGACTAAATTAGTCAACAAATAAAAAATCACTAAAAAGTTAAAAAAAAAATTATTACCCCAAAAAAAAAATGTTTCCCATTATCTCTATTTTTTCCACCCTTTTTTTTCTTTTGTAAAAAATAATTTCTGAATACTTCATTTTTTTTTTGTATCACAATTTAATTTAAAAGTAAAAAATCACTTCCCAAACAAATCTTAAACTTTAATCAGTGTGTTTAGTTTTAATTTTCTAAATTCAATTTTTATAGAAATTGAGTTTTTTTTTGTTTTTCGTAATTTTTTTTTTATTTTTAGTGAATATTTTTAAAATTGTAAACTAAGAGGGTAATTTAATAAATAGTAGACCGAGCTACGATCCTGTTCTGGGCGGGGCTAAAAGCCGGGGTATGGATTTCGAGTGGCTCGGTCTCATTTTGTCTAAGTATCGTATTTGGCTGAAGGGTTGACCAAGCTAACTAAAACTAGGCTTGATGGCTGGCCAAGGTGTTGTATAAGAAGGAGGCCGAGCTAGGTATAGCTCGGTCAATGCCCTCTACATCATTGCTTAGTTAAGAGCATAACCAAAATAATCTAGCTCAGCTAAACCAGCTTAGACAAAGGAAAAAAGTATCTTACTTGGTTGGTGGTAAGTAAAGTGTTATCAGGATAGACACTCTTCACTACGAGTGTAATTCCTAGCAGGACTTTACTAAGGAGAGTTGGAATCCTACTACGATTGTGCCAAGCGGAATCTATAAAAGCTTATGATAGAACCTATGTACAGGTATCACAATTCTCATCCTAGAATACACAGAGTTTTTGTGTCTATTGTCTATTCACTGACTTAGGCATCGGAGAGGTTTCCGGTACACACCTGCCGGCTAGCTCACGTTTGTGTTTTCAGGTGACAAAGCGACGACGTTTGGAGGAGTGCAAACTTGATCAACAAGATTATATGAGAAGATTATTTTGTGCTCGTACAATTAGCGCCGTCTGTGGGAAGACACAAAGAACAAAACCTTTTGATCGAGTTTTCCTCTCTAGTTGAAACCAATGGCGCACAATGAAGATTTGCCGCAATCTGTTATCGATGGGAAAACCCAGAGGGGGGCGGGAGGCGTGAAGGTTTACCTTCTATCCCACCTATGGCAGAATTAGAACCCCAACGACGGAACTCCCGGAGGGACATACGGAAAAGACGAGGCACCAATCCCCGTCGCTCTCAAAGTCCTAAAAGACAGAGGCGTAGGTTGGATCCTCAAGTTCTGGAAGATCGCATGAAGGAGCAAGACGAGTTAATAAGGAGAATGGTGGCAGACATGAAGATAATGAAGTGCCAGATAAAGGAAAAAGGAATGGCGACGGAAGATGGGCGCAAAGGCAACACGTCCTCTTACCACTCAGAAGATCATGACAGACATGTCACGCCATCGCAAGCAGAAAGTAGGAGCCTTAGAACAGGCGACACTCAATCAAGGACTTCCAGGACTCGTTGCTCCAGGTCTGAGAGAACGAGGACTGAAAGGTCATATACAGAGGGAAGAAGCTATCGGCCCTCGCACACGCACCAAACGACATCTAGGCACACGGAGTTACCTAGTTTAGCGGATCCACGAACAGTGCTCGAGGAGAGGGCCCAATGGAAGGAGGACACCAGGGCTCGCGACCCTCGCAGAGTTTCAACCTTACAGTGATTGATCCCTAGGACACATGGGAGTGTCGAGGTAGGAATGCAAATACCGCGCCTTGCTTATGAACCAACAGATAAAGTATTAGTAAGGTTACAGAGTTCGTCGTTCGTTCCGGCAATTGAGAACGCACCACTACCCTCAGGCTTCTACCAACCCAAATTCACCACTTATGATGGGAAGTCAGACCCCTACATGCACTTAAGCCACTTTCGCCAGATTATGGCAGTATACCGGCGAAACAAGGCTTTAATGTGTATCATGTTTCCATCCAGCCTTGGCGACCTAGGTCTAACCTGGTTCGAAAGGCTACTAGAAGGCAGCATAGCCTTATGGACACAGTTGGCAGAAACGTTCGTGACTAGATTTAGAACGAATACCAAGACACCAGTGGAGATTGACCAATTATTTTCCATCGACATAGACAAAAAAGAGACATTGAGATCTTACAACATTTGGTATTGGGAAAATTTCAACCAGATTGGGAATTGCCCTACAAATCTTGCCATCGCACAATAAAAACGTGGTTTACCAGTCGGTAACAAATTGAGGGACTCAATGACAATGATGTCACCCTTCACGATGGAGGCCCTAATAGAGAGGGTGCATCAACATATCTGAGTAGAGGAAGATAGCGCCCATGCTAAAGTAAAATCTGGCACAACAACAATGCCAGATAAAAAGACTACAACAAAAATCAACACGGTAGAACAACCAAGCAAGAATGGGTGAGGCAGGTGAGCCAGCAGAGAGGACCCAGA